TAACCCGTCCTCGCTCCCCGTTCTTGTGCCTTTGCTCCAGCTGTTTCCTTTGCTGGAAATATTCTCCCCACCCATTTTCCATCCCCGCAACCCAAATCCTGTCCATCCTTCAGAACTTCAAAACTCAGATCAAGGCCTCCCCCTCCCAGACCCTCCCTAGGTCCCTGCAGCCTTGACGATTTCCTCCTCGGATCCCCAGTGCCTCCTGGGTGCTCTGTGCCCTATGTCTGTGCTGTTTCATGATTCTTACGAGAAAGACACACCTGGGTCTAGGGGTGGATGTCACTCAGACTGCCTGGTGAGGAGGAAGGAGCTACATTTGTTGTTTTGGGGGGCCCCCCTTTCATAATTGTACCTCAACTTCTCCCACTCTCAGTCCCCATGCTGCAGGCAGGGCATACCCCTGCCCAGGAAATGGAGCCCTGGAAATGGACCTCCACCTTAGCCAATCAGTGATTGACATTCCTGGGGGGATGGGCCAATCAGAACCAAGGACGCCTGAAGACTTTCTGCAGGAGTTCTAGGACTTGAGGCTGTCTTTCCCACGAGCTTGAACCTGAAGCTGTGCAGCCATTTATCAGCACAAGGGACTTGTCTATGGGAGGAAATGGAGGCAAGCGATGGAGAGGGAGACACTGGGTCCTGGGATGTTGTTTGAGCCTCTGAATCAAGCTGTGCCTGGAGTCAGCCCTACCCACCCCCCCATCCCCCAATCACTTCTGAGGGTAAATCCCCTTGATCCACCCTGGGTTTGGTTTCCTCCTCCTTGCATTACAAAGAAGCTGAGCTGGTGCACAGGGTGAGAAGAGGGATCTCAGCAGCATCTTCCAGGAGGTCATGGTGTGACCTCCCTTGGTTCCAAGGTTGAACCATGGAAGCCTGGCTGCCCTGTGCCCTGGCCAGCACATCCAGTGTGGTCTGCTGGCACCCCAAGGTCCGTAGGAATAGATGAGAACCATCTGGACCACGGAGTGAAGCCTTAGGCCCCGAGGCAGGGCTGGGTCTCCGGAATGTGGATGCTGAGCCCAGGCTCAGGATGGAGACTGTTGAGGGCGCATCAGGCTCCCATTGCCTGAAACAAAAGATCCCCAGATGCTATGAGTCATTAGAATATGGGAGGGGGATGGGAGGAGACTCAATCCCACCTTTCCCAGGAGCCCTTGGGGAATATAGCTGGAAACAACTGGAGCAGGGGTTACCGGAAAGGGAGCACAGGGATTGGGAAGTGCCCGGATGCTGTGGGAAGAGGGCAGGACTGAGTGCCCTGGGAGGGATGGGGGTTGAGAGTCGGAATGTTCCTGAATGTTCTTTCATGATGGAGCCTTAGGGAAATGCTCCTGGCCTCTCCTCTGACATGGTGGGGGGCTGGGATAGGTAGGTTGAGGTGGGGAAATGGGGAGCCCTAACTTCCCGTTGACCGTGGGAGGAATCACCATAGATGTGGGGATGGAAGGGCTGCTCAGGGTCTGCCTTGGGAAGACAACTGTGCCCGTCTGAATGAAGGTGCTGCATCAGAGGCCCCCCAAGGATTTGTGCTGAGAACTGGGGGGTCTTTTATGAATCTGGAGAGTGATCTGGAGTCTGAGGCAGGGCCCAGGGCAGGCAGATTGCTGAAGAGGACCCTGGTGGAGATGGGAGGGGTCAGCATGAGGCAAGGGTGTTGGGGGAGTCAGAGATAAGGGGGCATGAGGCTGAAGGAGCCCTCCTTGCTTCTGCTCTTCTACACCCAGATTCCTGAGAGCTCGGTCTTCCCCCCTGGCCTTCTGCCCACCAGCTGCCACAGGGCGAGGGAGGAATCTGCTTTGCATTATCAGAGGAGCCGCGTCCCCCAGGCATATGGTCAGCAGACCCCCCAGCCAGGAGCATCATGGGAAATATCTTCTCCTGACCCCAGTTCTGGCCCAGCCCCTTCTTCCCCTAGAGCAGCGGTTCTCAACCTGTGGGTCGCGACCCCTTTGGCGGTCGAACGACCCTTTCACAGGGGTCGCCTAAGACCATCCTGCATATCAGATATTTACATTACGATTCATAACAGTAGCAACATTACAGTTATGAAGTAGCAACGAAAATAATGTTATGGTTGGGTCACAACATGAGGAACTGTATTTAAAGGGCCAGAAGGTTGAGAACCGCTGCCCTAGAGCATGGGGCTCCAAGCTCAGTGGCCCCCACCACACCCTCCCCAGTGGATGAAGAGGCTTTTCACATCGCTCCAAGTCTCATCTGGGCTTCATTGATCTGCATGAAAGAGGGGAGGGGGGAGGCACTAGGGCAGGGGTGGGCAAACTTTTTGACTCGAGGGCCACAATGGGTTCTTAAACTGGACCGGAGGGCCGGAACAAAAGCATGGATGGAGTGTTTGTGTGAACTAATATAAATTCAAAGTAAACATCATTACATAAAAGGGTATGGTCTTTTTTTTTTTTTAGTTTTATCCGCGGGCCGTAGTTTGCCCACGGCTGCACTAGGGGAAGAGAAGGGGCTCTGATGGGCCAGCCAAGATGAAAGGTCTCACCCTCTAGCCTAGAGGATGAAAGAGACAAAGAGATGTTCCCCCAACCTGGGCAAAGAGGAGAGAGGCCTTGGGGATGGCGGGTGGGGTGGGAAGGGAGAACTATAGGCCTCAGGCCCAAGGAGATTGACACAGGAAGAAGCAAGGGAGCACCTATCTGCCCTCTGAGCCCACATCTGGTCAAGTTCACAGCTGGCTGGACTCAGAATGAGTCTTCTCTGGGAGGATGAAGCTCTGGA